TTCTGGGAGTTGTAGTCCAAGAACATCTGGGTTACCCAAGGTTGGGGACCACCGAAGCATGTAAGGAATAGCAAGGTGGGCTGACAACCGCATCTCAGCCTGGCTCCAGATCTGACCCAGGAATTGCTGCTCGGGAGCTTTTCTCCCGTTAAGGAGATTTCTCTGCGCCCAACTTGTATCCCTGCTATGGCGCAGGATGGGACGTGCTACTGGTTTGTCTGGTCTCGTATTGGGCAACAGCTTGTATTACCCCTGGGTGAGTGGGGGGCCACTCTGCTCAAAACCTGGGTTCAATCCTAGGTAGCCAGTTCAAGGTTCACTCAACCTTCCATCCTTCTGAGGTCAGTAAATCAAGGACTCCATTCACCCGGGTGGGGGGTAGAGGGGCCCAGTGTGTCGCCTGCATCGTTAAATTGTAAACTTCGGAGCAAGTGCTTGAAACACTGTGGGGTGATATATAAGCAGCACAGTTTATTTTTTTAACAAACACAGAGATTACAGTGTGCTCTTCAAGCACCCTCTGACTACATACAGTGGTGCCTCGCTTAACGAGCGCTTCGCTGAGCGATGAAATCGCTTAACGAGGCGCTCTGGGCCATCGCTGGAGCATTCGCTCAGCGATGGCCCCTATGGCGATTTTTCGCTTTGCGATATTCGCTAAGCGATTCGCTTAGCAAACATCGCATAACGAAGCCGGGGAGAACAGCTGATCGGCGGTTCCAAAATGGCCGCCGGAAGGTCCGCGCCACATTTTCGCGCCCTGCCCTCGCTTACCGAGGGCGCGAAAATGGCGGCGCTATGGACGAGCCTCACACAGCGGTGAGTTTTCAAGCCATAGGAACGCATTGAACGCATTGCACAGCGATGTTTCGCTATAGCGAAGGTTAATCCGGAACGGATTAATCTCGCTATGCGAGGCACCACTGTAGTATGGAGCCTGAAAGGTTGAGCAGGGGGGGGCACTGGAAAAATTCCTTTGTCCCGTATCCACATACCTCTGAGTGGTCGATGGCCGGCTAAGACACTCCTTCCTGGCCCCGGCCAACTTTGTGCCTTCAGCTGCCCCTGCTCTCCTGTTGGGATGCGGCCTTCAGCTCCTGGATTTGGAAAGTTTGGAGTAAACTCTTGGGCTTACCCCCTCGAGCAGGGGGTTGGACCCCCGTGGCCTTATAAGCCCCTTCCAACTCCGTTCTTCTGCGATTCTCACGATAGAAAGCGATGGGGGTCGTGGACGGATGGCTTGGAACCCAGCCTAATGGACGTGTCCCGTCAGGTTGATCCTGCGTTGAACAAGAAGGTGGGCCCAACGCTCTCTTTCCCTTGTCGCTCCATCCAGATTGTCGCAGAGATTCTGGAAGGCGAATCCGTCATCACTTGGGACTTCGACATCCTCAAGGGAGATATCGTGTTCAGCCTCTTCCACTCCAAGCGAGCGCCCGAGACCAGCCGGAAGGAGCCCACGGGGTCAACGTCTACCGCGGCCGTGGACAACGTTCAGTTGATCGGCAAGAGCTGGGTCCTGGGGGTGGACTACAGCCGCGTGGAGTCGCCTCTTGTTTGCCGGGAAGGGGAGAGCATCCAGGTCAATGGCGTGTTCGTTGCCTGATGTCTTGTGCAAGGCCTTTGGGGCTTGACCGTTGTTTTAAAAAAAGACACACAACAGTGTCATTGCTGTTTCTTGATCTTTTTGGAATCTGTCTTGGGATTGGGGCCGGGTTTTGCTGTCTGGACCATCTCATTAGCCAAGCCGCTTCTACGTGATCCTTCCACCGGTGCTTAGCTTTGTTCAGAGAAGGGGTTACTGCTATTCCCCCCACCCCTTCCCGGGTGTCATCCTTGCCATGTTTCAACTGTGTAGCTCCTTGCTTCATGTCATTGGTGAGGAACTCTGTTTGTGCGAGAGGCGACAGCTTGCTGAAAGCCACTGTCTTGGCTTAAAAGGCCAAACCTCGAGGTTTTCCACGTTAAAAGGGCGGTGCAGTTAAAAACTTTGGCTCTTCAGGCAGGCCTTCCCTCCTGTCAATACTTGTCTCTACAGTGGTGCCTCGCTAGACCGTTACCCTGCATGACAGTTTTTTCGCTAGACATTGACTTTTTGCGATCGCTATAGCGATTCGCAAAACAGTGATTCCTATGGGGGAATTTCGCTGGACAATGTTTGGTCCCTGCTTCGCAAACTGATTTTCACTAGACGACGATTTGCTTTTCGCTAGACAATGATTTCGCTAGACAGCTATTTCAGTGGAACGGATTATCATCGTCTAGCGAGGCACCACTGTATTCTTATTATAATTTTCTGTTTTCCTATCTTGAGCATTACTAAGCATTATTGTTTTGAATTGTTTTTAACTGAATAAAAAAAAATCTGGCTGTAAGGTCAAAATCTGGATTATACAGAAGGTTGGAGGAGGGGGGAAAAAACTAAACAAAGATTAAATCTTCCTTTAGACTTCCCCGATGATATTGCTTTTCCTCTTTATCGTTTTCCAGGGCTCCCATGTGACCCGGTGGCCTGGTTTTTATATTCTCCAGTGGAAAATGCACAGCCCGTCTCCCTGCGCTGGGAGCAGCCTCTCTCGGGTGGACGATGTCCTGGCCACGCTCCAGGTCTCGAACCACAAGTGCAAGGTCATGTATTACCACGAAGTGCTGGCGTCCAAGGATTTCAGGTAAGGAGCAGTGCTGGGGCCCATGATTGGCCGCCGGAGAGCCATTCCGTAGGGGCCGGCGAATCCTGTTAATGGGATTTCAACCTCCTAGCCATGAAGGACCTTGTCTCTTCCCTTCCCCTCTCTCTCTTCTAAATCCAGTGTTAAGGGAGTAGGGTTTGGGTTTTGTCTGAGTTAAAATATAAACTGCAGTGTCATTTAAGCTCACGTGTTAGCTTAATGTATTTATTTTATGTACAGTGGTGCCCTGCTTGACGACGACGATCCGTTCAAGCAAAATTGCTGTAGAACGAAATCGTCAAGCGAAAGTTTAAAAAAAGTTGAAATGCATTGAAAACTGGTCCAATGGGCGAAATACCTCACCGTCCAACAAAGCTCCTCCATAGGGTGGCCATTTTCTGGTACCTGTATAGCAAGGAATCCGTCCTTAACACAGCGGGGAGCCATTTTGCACAGCGGGCGGCCATTTCGAAAACCCAACGATCAGCTGTTTTTGATCGTCGCGAAGCGAAAAATCTGTTCCTGTCAAGTGGATTTTCCCTATTTAAACATCATAAAGCGGATTCGTCGTGGAGCGGGGTAATCGTCCAGCGGGGCACCACTGTATTTTATCTTTGTCTAATCGAGTCTGTGACCGCATCATAAAACTCTACTTACTTGACACAGGGTACAGTTAATCAAAAATTATAAAAATATTGACTGCTATTATATAACGGATACAAGTTTTACCAAAATTTACTATGTAGTAGGTCTTCTTGTTGTTGTTGTTGTTAACAATTGTCATTCCTGGTTTAATGACTTGGTTTAAAGGTAACGAACCCCAATACCAAACTGCAACTAACTCTTTCCTTTTCTTTCCCCTTTAGGGGATCCATGACCAGTCTGGAGTCTTGCAACAGTGGGTTTTCCCAGCTCAGCAGAGCCACGACCTCCTCCAACCAGTCTCAGAGCAGCTCCTTGATTTCTAGATAGCGCCCCCCCCACCGCAGGCGTGTTAAATGTGGGGCCGAGACGATTCCCTCAGGCCTGCCCCCCCCGGATGGCGCCAAAGAGCCCGATGGCTGAATGGCCGTGCCCGACGGCGGCCGAACCGAGGACCACAGAGACGGGGGGATCCCGATTCAACCGTCTTTCGGAAAAGCCCCTCAAAACTCTTGGTCCGTTTTTCTTCCCCTTCTAGGAAGAATCTCCGGCTTTCCAAGTCTTGGACGATCCGCTTTCTCGGACGGCGTAGTCACAACGCCGTGCGTTTCTGGCGCATATCCACCCCTTTTCTTTTTTGCATGAATTTAACACCCCTATGGTTAAAGGGCTTTCCCCAGTCAGCCTACCTCTTCGGAGCGAGCTGGCCTTGCCTTAACTATTAGGAACTGTACAGCTGTCTTTTCCGAGTAGCAAAAAATAATAATAATATTAATAGTCACGTTTCTCGGGGCATCAACAGTGCCATTTTTGTGTTTTAACAGGGTGCAGGAGGCGCCTTGCTAGCAGGGATTAGAAGCAAATTAACGAATACGTACATGAACAGATAGGGAGGGTGGTCGGGCTGGGCCAGATTTCCTGATTACTTGCATTATAGAGAACTTATCTCAGAGGCCAGAAACTTGGATATTGCTAGCTAACATGCTTTGGCATCCCAGGGAGTTTTCCACTGGTGCACTGAAGCAGCTTCTTTTCTGAAAGGAGAAAGCACCGTTTCCTTCCCCACCCTTTTTTTCCCCTCAGGTCTTCGAGCAATAATTGAATCCACCTCTGCCCTATTCGTCTCTCAGGGTAGGAAAACGTGTTCTATCGCTAAGGGCTAAGCAAAGCAATATTTGATTTTTACAGGCACAAAAAAACCCACAAACAAACCACAACTCTTCCAATGTTTGAAGGAGCTGTTGGTTTGGGCGGCGGGAAGCTCGTTCCTAACGAGGGTGGGCGCTTTAAGCGCACGCGTGTGCAAGCGCGTGGGTGTGTGTGCATGCTTCCGTGTGTGTGTGTGTGCGTATGTGTGTGCGGGGGGGTCGAATCTCAATTCTGAAGACGTATTTATTCAGACATGGTTAAGGTTTAAACGCATAACTTATTTGTATCGTTTTCTAGGGACCGCTCGACTATTTATTAACAAATAGGTTCAGCTATTTATTAAAGAATCGGCCCTCCCTCTCGTATCCTCAGCTCTTGGGGCTGGGAAGGGATGTGCCTGTGATCCTCTTGAGTTGTAGATTTCTTTTGTAGATACACAGCTTTCACATCTGGATGTTTCTGTGGCACATAGAGAATTTCCTCCTTCTCTTCTTGGAAGTGGAGGGTTTGGTTATATAATCACGCGGCCCATATGGCCTTGAATGATTAAGTACTGTACTTGGTTTTGGGTTGATTTTTTCAAATCGATGGTGACGAAGCTTCACTTCAGTGTGGAATGGAAATGGTTTGTAGGGGAGATGATCCTTCCGTTTACAGTAGCACCCCCTGTATCCGCGGGGAATCGGTTCAAAGCCAGCTCCCTGTGGATGCTGGAAACCGTGGATAATAGCAAACATTATTTTTAGCATGGCCTCTGGCTCCCTCTAGTGGCCCGTCCTGAGAACTCCGCTGTTAGATATTCATATTTCTGGGAATTTTTGTTTTAATATATTTGATACTTTCGGACCACGGATAAAGGAATCAGTGGATACCGATCCCACAGATATGGAGATTCTACTGTATCTGAAATAAAAGGAATGATGAAGGATGTGAGATGGAACTTAATGGGGATTCTCCCTGTCCGGATGTATTTTTACTTTTCTTGAGATGAGGGGCTAAATGAAAGTCACCCAGGTATAGCATTCTCTTGGCTTAAAAAAAAATGAATGACATACTTTTAGGGGGAAATGAAAAAGTTGTGGTTAGGGAGGTTTTCAGCAGAAAACCAGCCAGTGAAGGAGTGTTTGAATTTCACTTTATACCCCCTCCCATTAGCTTTTTGAGGCTGCTTTTTATTTTAAAAGTGGAGAAATGTTACCTGCCTTTAACATTTTCTCTGACTTTTAGAAAGATTCCAACTAAGATTGGAACAGTGATGAGAAATGTCTAGTTGGAGAGAACAGTATAGGAGGAGCCCCGTATCCAAGCTTACCCCACCACCACAGTGGATAAGAGTGAATGCTATACATAGCATGGTAAAAGGAGAAAAAATCCAGAAAAAAAAATTTCACCATATACCAGAACTGGCCAATAGAGGGCAAAAGAGAGCATGCTATGTATTCTTCACTAACAAGCATTCATAGCACGGTCTTTGGCTCCCTCTCATGGCCGGTTCTGGTAATACATGTGAAAATAGTGTGGGTTTTTTTTTCCTGGATTTTTTCCTATTAATATTTTCAGACCGTGGATAAGTGAAACCACAGATACTGATCTCACAGATACGGGGCTCCTACCGTATTAGGGTTTTTCCAATTCGTCAAGAATGACGAGGGCTCTTGGTGGAGCAATTTCCTCTTGCTTACATCCGGAAGCACCCTGTCACTCCCTAATATGCAATTAGTTTTCCATTGGTAAGTAAGTAAGCTTTATTATGCGGTCGTAGACCTGTATTGGTAAGCCCAGGGCTACTTCTGAAACACTTTTCCAAAACGTGTATGGACTCCGCCCCCCCTAAATGTGCCCAGACCACGCACAATTTATTTCAGGGGCCCAAAGGGTAACTCTTGAGGGTGGGCATCTTTGACCCACCGGCTCCTAGTTGCTGATCCACACCCCCTCATGGGTGCAGACGCTCAAGTCCGTCGAACTCAAGGGCCGTCCGGGTGAGAACCGCCTTTCCTTTGCTTTCGTCTCCATTTGAGCCATTATACTGTGATTTTTCCCAGCGCAAAAAAGAACCACCAACAACATGTAGAGACTGAACCTCTTTTTTTGCACAGGCTTATCTTAAGGGCATTTCACCGTTGTACATCTGTGGCATGCCAGACAGGGGGGGGGAAAGCGGATGTTTTAACTGGAGAATTTTTTAATCCATGTCTCGGTAGACTCGGCGAGAGCTGCTAAAAGTACACCCCCCAAAATTGAGTGACTTTTAAAGATGGCACAGATTATTGCCTTGGTCCGCGGTGTGATGACATATCACTTCCATGGCCCTCAGTGCGTGCGCTGTTTCAGGAGGTATTCCAAAAGAGCACATGTGGAAGCTGATAAACTGGTGGTCGTTTTTATTTTAACAGAGATTCATTCTTCTTGACAACAAAAAAAAAATTGGTTTTCGGATCACGATTTGTGTGCATGTTGGCAAATGTGACTCAGAAGCTATGTTTTGGAGGGGCCCTTTGTCAGGGGCTGGGTGTTAGTAATGCATCTTCTGTTTTCCACTTTACTGTAATTTCAAATGAAAATAAATGAATGAATCAGGAGAGTTGTTTTAACGTAACTTGTTGGGAAAGAGGAGACATCTCCATTGTGGGTGTTTGTGATCAGACACAGACACCCAGCTTGAAAAGGTACTCTGGAATAGTGATTATATTTGTCATTCTAGAGCACACACACCCACACACACCCCAGGGATGTTGTTACTGTTACATTTCCAATTCCACAAGTTACTTTCCAGTTTCCGAAAAGTAATTGAAATAAGATCTGTTAATTACTTTAAAACTTATCCAGGGGCGAAGGTACAGTGGTCCCTTGCTTGATGACATTAATTTGTTCCAGCGAAATCGCTGTAGAGTGAAAACGTCGTCAAACAAAATAAAAAACCCCATTGAAACACACTGAAAACCGTTCAATGTGTTCCAATGGGCTGAATACCTGCTTGTCCAGCGAAGATCCTCCATACGGCGGCCATTTTCGGCGCCTGTAAAGCGAGGAATCTGTCCTAGAAAACAGCGGGGGGCCATTTTCTTCAGCAGGGAACCAATCATCGCACAATGAAAAAAACCCATTTAAAACATCGTTTTAAAAACGTCAGCGTAAAGCGGATTGATCGTAGAGCGGGGTAATCATCCAGCGGGGCATGACTGTAATGACTCGGTGTACTAAAATGCACACACTTCCCCACCTGTCTTGCCATCACTTCAAAAACCAAGAGTTCAGCGTGAAGCATGGCATGAACCAACGTGGTATTTCTCCCCCACGCTATAGTGAGGTCTCCTCCACGCCATAAAAGTCGCTATCACGGTTTCTGTTACACTGTAGACAGATTGAAGTTATAGCTGATGAAGTTACAGCGAGAGAACGGCACGAATCGGCAATTCGTACCGATTCGTGTTTTGGCCGAACGGGTATTTTCGGCGCTTCGGAGCCCCACCTCCCCTAACCGGCGCCTACCCAGACCCCACGTCCTGGCTCCCTTGCCCTGCTTCTTCCGAGTGCTGCTTCTGAGTGGGTGCCCACGGAGGAGGAGGTGAGGCTAGGAAGCACCGAACAGTTCGCCCGAAAAACGAACTGGCACGAATTACCGAACCGGTGGTTTGCCCCCATCTCTAGTTACAATCGTGACATAACTTACACCTTTTTAAACTGGGAAAATGAATTAAATGCAAATTAAGTACCAATTTGTAACTGAAGTGCCTCCCTCCAGTCTTCATGGTGCTGTTTGTCAAAGGTCCGCCTCGTTGGCTGCCTTCCTTACATAGTTCAATGTTTTTAAAACAAAAAACAAACTCGCCATTATTGTATACGAAAGAGAAGCGTTGGGTCTGTTGTGAGAGCAGGTTTGAATTCATTTTAAAGGGAATTTACTTTCCAGACTGCCTCAGTTTTACATGCATTTCTTCCAAACATTACCTTTGTAAGACGAGTAATACATTGGATTATTAATTGACCAAGTGCTTTACTATCATAGGCCTAAATCCAGCTGCTTGACCCAGTTAAGGGTTGACCCGCTGAGCCGGCCGGTCGGCATCGGTGTTGAATTAAGACATGCTTACGATTCCGTTGGTCTACTCTAACACGGACTTAACACAATTTGATCCAGCCTTTAGCGTTTGCCCTCACGTGAGCCCGGAGAAAAGATAAAGATGATTATTCTCATTTCTCAACCTGGCTGAGGGATCGCAAGAGATCAGCCCCGCGGGGATAGAAGATCAGCAGCCTCTGTCTCTTCCTGCGGTGATCCTACTAATCCTGTCTTTTTGGGCATCTTTACTTCCCTAGATGATTACTAGAACTCTGCTTCTCTCTGAAAGGACCCACTGGTTCCTCAAAACATTCAACCGTTCTTTTCAAAAATAAGGACCTTCTGATTTTCCATCTTCTGCTACACTTCGGCCACGGATGTGGTCATCCGTGGCGGTTCATCTCAGTGGCACTCTGGGCTAAGCAAAGGCACAATGGCAATATATTCTTAACAGCAACCTCAGTGGGAAAAAAAGGATCAATGCTCTTCCCTCCATCATTTTTCTTGTACGGCTTCCTCTTCCGGAACTGGGTTTGACTCTTCCTGTGGGCTTCCTCCTGCCGTGGCCTGTTCTGCCCGCCGCACGTCCCTGATGATGTAGGCCCAAGCTTGTTCCAAACCATCCCCAGCCACGCTGGCCGGTGTCCATTTGACGAACGGGAAGCGGGCAGCCACCACGCAGGCTTCCTCTGGGAGTTCAGAAAGCAGCTTTCTCTCCAGCGGGGGTACCTACCAAGGAAGACGAGACTTGAGGAGGACGCCAACAGAGAGCAATAAATGGAATTGCAGGAGGAAGAAAGCTTTGGAGAACACAATCCATGCTGTTCTTTCTAACCTCACACTAATATTTTAAATAATATTTTTTTAAAGTTATCCATATCCACAAAAACTGTCCTTCCTAACATAAACTGTAAAGCGGAATAGCGAAGACTGGCTTTCCACTGACTTCTCTCTAGCCCCACTTCCGTGTCTCTTGCGTTCAGATTTCGTGACTCGGGAACAACGTATTTCAAACTGCAAACCTCTACAGAAAAGGAACGTTCTCCCCCTTCCCCACCCTGTCACATTTTGGCTGAGTTTGCAGTCCAAAGGGGGGGGGGAGAGTCAGCAGCTCAGCCTCTGGCCATGGCATTTACTCAGCAGCTTGGTTCATGGAGCGCACAGATGTGGCGCCTCAGCAGAGCATGTGTGACGCTTCTAGAATAATTGGACTCTCGGGTGACCGCCTGGCCCCAGAAGAGAAAGGCCACCAAGATGAAAATGAAGGACTCTGCCAATATTGAAGTACAGTGGTACCTCGCAAGACGAGTGCTCCATTTAAGGATGAAATCGCTAGACGGGGAACATCATATAACTTTATGATGGTTTCAGTGGGGGAATTTCGCTTTGCGATGATCGGTTCCCTGCTTTGGGAACCGATTCTTGCAAAGCGACGATTTTCGGCCAGCTGATCGGTTTCAAAATGGCTGCAGGGTAAAAAAAATGGCTCCCCGCTCTTTTCTGGGACGGATTCCTCGCTGCACAGGCAGCGAAAATGGCCACACTATGGAGGATCTTCGCTGGACGGTGAGTTTCAAGCCCATCGGAACGCATTAATCGGGTTTTAATGCGTTTCTATGGCCTTTTTAATTTCGCATTGCGACGTTTTCATTCTACAGTGATTTCGCTGGAACAAATTAACGTCGTAATGCGAGGCACCACTGTACCATGGGTTTGGGTACATGCCCTTTTGACTATCAGTAGAAAAGTATCCTCAAAGGGACTTCTTCAGTCCTTCTCAACAATAAACCAAAAGTGTTTTCCTTCGTGTCGGTGTCTAAAGCGGCTATTTCTTAACTTCTTGCCAATCCTCCTTTTGAACTCGAAGTGCCCAGCATGGAACTGCATGCAGAACGAACGCTCTCACAGAAGATGCCCAGCATGGAACTGGGGAGTTCCTGCATGCAGAACGAACGCTCTCACAGAAGGTCTCCAGAAACCAAGCGTGAGGTTAACCTGAATTAATGAAGGAAGATGCATGCGAGTGACCCGTCACGTCAACCCTCCTAGCTTAGGGTTATCTCTTCTAATTGGTCTTAGCGCTGTTCACGGACTTAAGGTCTCTGCTATTTCTGTAAACCAGGGTGCTTTGATTTAATCAGAGGGTTTTTTTCTCCTGCACGCAGCAAAGACTCTGCCACGGAGCTGAAGTTCCATCTTGTTAGGATAAAGTCTGAACCGTGGATGCAGAAAGGGCCTTTTATGGAACTGGAGTCCTTAAAAAGATAGCAACAGTACCCAGCAGCAGAGAAAAATCAAGCTACAGTGGTGCCTCGCTAGACGATGATAATCTGTTCCAGTGAAATCGCTGTTTAGCGAAATCATCGTCTAGCGAAAATCGGTTTGCGAAGCAGGGACCAAACATTGTCCAGCAAAATTCCCCCATAGGAATCACTGTTTTGCGAATCACTATAGCGATCGCAAAAAGTCAATGTCTAGTAAAAAAAACCCTGTCATGCGGAGGTAACTGTCTAGCGAGGTACCATTATAATTCTGCAGGTTCCCTTGCAAGCAGTTGTTGGCTGGCCACATGGGACCAGACACAGTTCCAGCGAATGATCCTTCAGTATAGCTCAGTGAGTTGGTGCGCCCAGGCTGGAAGGTAGGATCCCCACCATGTCTCCCACGAGCGAGGCCGGCGAAAAGCACCCAGAAAGTGGGCGGTCATCTGGACTTTGCACCCTGGTGTTCGTGTGGCTCTGAAGAAGCTGTACAGTCTCAGAGCCTCTGCAGAAGGAGGGTCTGGGGAACCACCTATGAAAACTTAGAAAACTTGGGAAGGATATGATCAGTTGGAATTGACTGGACAGCACACAGCATCCTTTCAGATGGTTCCCCACTTTGGGTCCCCAAAAGTTCTTGGATGAAAATTCCTAAAAACCTAGGATTTCTGGGAGTTGTAGTCCAAGAACATCTGGGGGACCCACAGTTGAGAAGCGCTGTGTCAGTTCCAAACCTTAAGCTCCCCGGATCTTTTGGACTCCAGCTCCCAGAATCCCCGGTTGAGAAGCACTGTGTCAGTTCCAAACTTTAAGCTCCCCAGATCTTTTGGACTCCAGCTCCCAGAATCCCCGTGTGAGGCCATGCCCTTTGGGAATCTCGGGTGATGGAATCCAAATTAACCTGGTAGGCCAAAGGTTAAGCATCCCGCCACTTTATCCCTGGAAAATGGCTTTTTTTCTCTCTCTCGGTGTCTTGGATTTAATTAGCTAAAAGATTGTACTTACCACACTCGGGGCCAGGAACACAGTGACGTTGTTGCAATCGGAGAGATTTGCCTTAAAATAAAAGACAGGGTGGGGGGGAAATAAGCTCAGACTAGACCAGCAGGACCTGCAGCCAAATGTTGAAACGTGGAGCGTTCCTCCTTCACAAGATGGGCCACTTGGTTCCTCTCTTTACCACCCCACCGCTCTCTTCTAAACGGTGTGCATACTGATGTGAAAGGAACGGCTGTCTTTTACACAGAAAATAAAATACACCACATGCTGGAAAGTAAGAGGGCCTGATCCGTCTTGTGTCCAGATGTGGCTGGTTGGGGAACCCCCCTGCACTCCCTTTTTAGACCTCCCTTTTTAAACCCAGTTTGGATGGCATGTCCAAAAGAGGGCTTCAAAAATCACCTTCAAAAAGAGGACCGCACTCCCATAACCCGTCAGACCCAGGACTGGCCCCTGCGAAGCAGGAGAAAGGGCCACCAGAGAGGAAACGATGCCAATCTTGAAACGGGAGCTGCTCCTTCTGGCTTAGAAGGAACACGCTTCCTGCTTCAAGGCCGGGCTTCTTGTTCCTGTGCCAGCAGGAATTTACCTTCCAAAAGTCTTCTTGGCAGTACGAAACCTTTCCGTAGCAACCGGCTCGCCAGGCGTGGAAGCTGGACAGTCGCAACAACAGCGGGTTGAGTTCGTAGCCCACCACGGGTCTGAATCCTCGTCTGTAAGCCTCCAGGACCTGAAAGGACAGTCCGAATGAGTCCCTTCGTCTGGTGTCCGTAGAGCGGTGTGGCTTGCGTGTCGGGCGGTGTTCAGCCACTACTGAGATCATAAATTTGGAAAGATTTATGAGGCCATAAAGTCTGAAGATTAGCCTCAGGAGACTTACATCAACTCTCATAAATATGTACCACCAAATTTTGCACAGAGTTTTCTGAACTATCCGTGAAAGGGGTTGTGCTAAGCCTGAAGAAGTAGAATTTTCGCCACAAAAGCTTTCCTTTTCTTTGATTTTCAGCAGTCCGATAAAAGGTATCGCCTCGTCTTGCACTGATGTAAAGATAAGCGTGCCTGCATAGGAAATAATAGCATGCGTGTAGAGGGATATCTGCATGTATTCTTTATTTTAGCTCTCAATACAACATTCTCAAGATATGCGTTAAGGTCTTTGTTTGTCGGTCCTAAGGACTCTACATGCATGCTATTATTTCCTATGCAGACACGCTTATCTTTACACCAATACAAGACTAGGAGATGGCCGTGCTGGCCAGAGCCGCTGGACATTGTAGTCCAGCCACATCTGAAGGATGTTAGAGGGATATCTGCATGCATTCATTATTTTAGCTCTCAAAATGACATTCTCAAGAGACGCGTTAAGGTCTTTGTGAGTCAGTCCTAAGGAGAAGACAATAGCATCTCTGGAGGGACTGCAACATCCAGCACGGCCAATGCTATGGTGTGATGGGAGTTGTAGTCCGGCACTATTGGCACGATAGCAGGTTGCTCAATCTTGTATATGGCTGCAAAAAAAGGCCAATGCAATTCTAGGATGCATTAACAGAGGTATAGTCTCCAAATCCCATGAGATCCTAGTCCCTCTCTAGTCAGCACTGGGTAGGGCTCATCTAGAGACCTCTGTGCCCAGTTCTGGACACTGCACTTTAAGAAGGATGCTGACAAATTGGAGCAAGTTCAGAGGAGGGCATCCAGGAGGATCAGGGGACTGGAAACCAAGCCCCAGGAGGAAAGATTGAAAGAACTGGGGATGTTTAGCCTTGAGAAAAGAAGATGGAGGGAGATAGGGAAGCACTTTTCAAATACTTGAAAGGTTGTCATCCAGAGGAGGGGCAGGATTTGTCCTTGATCTTCCCAGAGTGCAAGACACTTCGTAATGGGCTCAAGCAACAGGAAGCCAGATTCAGGTGGAATATCAGGAATAGCTTCATGACTGTTTGAGCAGTGAAAGCATGGCATTGGGAGGTGGTGAGCGCTCCAACGCTGGAGGCCTTTGAGACGAAGTTGGACCACCTTTTGTTAGAATCTGCTTTGATTTGGATTCCTGCCTTAAGGAGGAGGTTGGACTTGATGGCCTTAGTGGCCGCTTCCAACGCAATAATTCTGTATCTCAACCCTAATTGAGCAATAAGTGATTACATGCACCCACTCTTCCAACACGCAAGCGCCTTTGGGGAATATCACGCTCGAGGCATTGTGCGGCTCTTACAATTCTCCCATCGCCCGACCCTAAATCCACCAGCTTGCCGGAGCGTCCTTTTAGCAGTGACATCATATTGTTCACTTGCTTGGCACTGGAGGGCACATAGGGCACCTGGATTGAAGAAAAAAGGCCCGTGAGCTTTGCAGAAAGACGTGGGTTTTCCTTCGTGACTTCGGAAGGAGGACAGTGCCGTTCAGTGGATCCGCCGAGGCAGGTGAATTGAATTCAAAGTTTCCCATGACATCAAACGGGGGACCAGAAACAGAAGATGGGCAGATTTCGCACAGTCTGCTGTATGTCAGACACTGTTATAACACTGTTACTTTTATTTTTACTTATCTGTCTATTTATCCAGGCAGATAACAGTACTGTTTTAGAGTTTTCTTCCATATTCTGATTATCACCGGGGGGGAGGCCTTTTCCATGTCACTTTCACATAATGCATCTTTGTGGGACATTCCAGAATATGACCTCAGACTAGAAAAATATCCTACTTGGGCAGCACATTGTAGTCAAACCTCTTAGGGTAGAAATGCTGGGTAGTTTAGTGGTTTAGGTCTCTGGCTGTGGAGCCAGAGTCTGGACTTAGTGATCCACAGGCCCCCCCTTCCAGCTCTTCAGTTCTGAGATGATGATGATGATTAGGGAATTATTTTTATGACATGTCATATTTTTTCCTGCAACCCATGTTTGACCTTGTGGGTGGGTTTGAACGTAATCTGATGGGAAAGGCCAGATGACTCCTGCAAACATGTTTCAACTTGCCTATGGGTTCAAATGTAGGTTGCAGAGAACATGTGACATGTCATAGACATCCTTCCCCTAATGGTGATGATTGTGATGAAGTAGCCAGGTTCCCTAAATTCCTTGAGTCCGTGGAGTCTCGTGGCTTTGATTTCACAGGCATGGCGAATCCGTGTTTGCAGGAGCTGTCCGAGGTGCTGAAACCTGTTCTCCGATAATTTCAGCACCCTGGACAGAGACCCTTTGGATTTCAGACTAAAATCCAGAGCGGATGTAAATGTCCACCCTGTGAGATCAGAGCTGCCTGCTTCCACAGCATGAGTCCTTGGCTGGAACTTTCCCACTCGCATCTTCAGCTGGGGATCCAACTTTACTCCTCCAGCCCCTTTCTCAGGCAGAGAAGGAGCAAAGCACGGCCAGCTGGCGCTTGCAAATCCTGGCATAAACTGTGCCTGGCTTCAGCCCTTCTCTACAGCTGGGAGCAGGAGGAGGAGCAAGGTGTTCGCTTACACGGCTAACCCTGCATGCCTCTTACGCAGCCGTCCCTTGGGCATGAGCTTGGGACCTTCCCTCCCAACCCATATTTACGACAGTCCATTCAACTGCTTCCAAAAACTGCAAGTAGCAGACACTCTCTTAAAAGAAGCAGTTCTCCTCCTTTAGCACTAAAAAGAAAGAAAAAAAAAGAAGACAGAAGGGAGATAGGATAGTACTTTTCAAATGCTTGAAAGGGAGTCCTACAGAGGAGGGGCAGGATCTATTCTTGATCCTCCCAGAGTTTAAGACCTCTAATCAGGGGTTCAAGTTAACAGGAAGCCAGATTTCGGCTCAGTGTCAGGAAAAACTCCTTAACTGCTAGAGCAGTACGACAATGGGACCCATGGCCTCGGGAAGTGGTGAGCCCTCCAACACTGGAGGCGTTCAAGGGAAAAGTGGAAGGCAAGATCTGCGCCGATGTCTTGAGTTTGGATTCGATGGTCGTGGAGGCCCCTTCAGATTTCATGATTCTAGGATTCTGTCATGGCACCCCACTATCCAGCTTGAATTTTGGGCCCAGAAACCCTGCCTCGTTGAGCAGACGACAGTGGCTGATGCTGCCCATGGGGCCCAAAGAATGCCATTCCACTTTCCCCTTTCAAACCAGAGACTGGTCTCATCCACCTGATTCATACCCCTGCGGACCAGCTGCTAAAAAATGACCATCGTCCAGATACCTGCAGGGACGCCCTGCGGAGCCCGAGCGCCCGCAGTCCAGCCCATGCCACGTACAGGGTGAAGCCGGCGCCTGCCAAAATCTGGGAAAGGTCCCAGTTCTTCCCCTTTCCGTGCAGCTCTGTTGCTAGTTCTTCTAAATCTTCGAGATCCATGCCTGCAAACACACACACACACCCAAAAATGAAACAACAACAAAAAGACAGATAAGCAAATCAGTTCTAATTGATATGGCATTTCCCCACCCACGGGCCCCCGTCTGCATGAAACGGCATTGTTGTTATGTGCTGCCAATTCACTTCTGGCCTTTAGCAGCCCTTGTGAATGAATGGTCTCCAAAACATCCCATCATTAACATTCAGCTCTTACAGACTGAGGGTCGTAGTGTTTCTTATTAAGCCTACCCATCTCATATTAGGTCTGCCTCCTTCCCTCCTGAATCCCGCTCTTCCTAACATTCTTGCTTCTTCCAGTGAGTCTGGTTTTCTCAAAGTTTAATAACCTCCGTTTAGTCACTTGAGTTTCTAGTGAGAGTTCAGGCATGCTCTAATTTAGAATCTATTTGTGGGTTTTTTTGGTGGTCCATTGGTGGTGCTGTTCTGCACCTTCTGGTCATCTCTGACTTAGGGTGAACCTATGAATGAGCCATCACCAAACTGTCCTGTCCTCAACAGTTCTTCTCAGCTCCTGCAAACTCAAGGTTGTGGTTTCCTTTAGGGACTCAGTCCATCTCATGTTTGTTCCTCCTCTTTTCCTGCTGCTTTCAGTTTCTCCTAGCACGATGGTCTTTTCTGGGTAGTCCTGCTTTCTCATGATGGGCCCAAAGCAGGACAGCCTCCGTTTCAACATTTTTTCCTCCAGAGAGTTCAGGTTTGATCTGATCCAGAACCCACTTGATCATCTTCCTGGAAGTCCAGAGTATCCAGAAAGCTCTCCTCCAGCTCCACATTTCTAACAAATCATTTCCCCTCATTAGCTTTCTTCACTATCCGGCTTTCACACCCATACAGGGTGACCAGGAATACAAGAGGGTGGTTGATCTTGGTCTTCATCTCCTGTCACACATCCTTACCTTTGATTATCTTTTCTAGTTCCTTTATTGCTGCTTTTCCTGCTCTCAGTCTTCTACCTGAACTCTCCATTTGTGGTCCATAATATTCATAAAACTCCCAAAATCCCATTTCAAATGAATTATTTTTTTTCCCCGTATCAGCTTCCTTCTTTATCCGGTTATCTCATCGGCACACAATAAGCCTGCATGCCATCGTCTGAATGATCCTGACTTCCTGAATCTTAAAGATTGTTTCTAGTTCCTTCATTCCATGCTCACTCTTGAATTCTCCGTTTTGGGTTGGGTTGAGTGAAGGGACAGAGAATCTTTTTGGGTGTGCTGTCAGTTTTTTTTAAGCTTGCCTGCAAGAACTTCATGCAACGGTTATGAAAGCAAAGCAAACCTTCCCCCCTCCCAAAAATATTAGCACGTTCTGCTCACAACATCTGTAAGAAACTCACCAGATCTCCTCCTCGTCTTTCAACGGGGTTGAAATTTGCCCCCCAACCTAGGTGGACTTTGCCCTGTCTCTGTGTAAATTTGTGCATAACACAGCCAGTACAGCGACGCCTTCGGAGGACAAAAGGCAGCCCCATGCCTGGCTTCGCGACTGTGTGTGCCAGCCAAACATGAACAGATCATATTTCTGCCGGATGCCTGCGCTGTCCTGCAATGTGATTTACAGAGACAGTCTACGTCCTGGTGTATTTGTTGAGAATTTTGATGATAATGTGTATTCTCATAACACCAGCCGCCGAGTAAGGAGAGATTGGTTAGCAGAGATACTTACGACACTGAGAGTCTATTTACATATATACATAGAGAAGAGACATTCTTCTGACAGCATCACATGACATGAAGCATAGGAAAAAAGTGATCTGACTTATAGCAGATAAAGACGCTCGTTTTACGCACAGTTCTGTGACTAATCAGAAAATACATGTCATTTTTCTGTCACACCAAGTGTCATCATGTGCACAGCTGTACAATCCGTCCACAACAACAACAAAAAAAACACACCGATCACCATAATCACCCCGTCTCCTGAAAAGGACAAAAGCTGATCCCACAGCTATAAATATTCAAGAATCCCACAAAGAGCAACAGAGCATGGGCAGAGTTCTGACTCCTGTCCTCCGAAGCGGCCGGCCACAGAGACTGGTGAAATGTTAGGAATTAAAATCCTTCAGACTTGGTTGTTGAGACTGGGAAAAAAACCACAACAACCATCCAGAGAGATTTCCTTTATTGAGTGAAATATAAACTCAGGCTAAAAGGGGGCTTAGTGTTTATTCCTCCCTAAGCTTATGGGGCCACTCCACGGGGTGGGGGTTAGCCCAATTTGCCCTCCAAGCCCTGAGACACCCCCCCCAACTGCCCGCGTCCCTTTCCTCCCCCTTGCCTGCCTCCAACAGGCGGCGCCCCTTTTCGACGCCCTCTGCAACAAGTGGGCCACTCTTCCTTTTTCTCTATGTTAACCTTACCCTAGCTCTACAGCGCAGCTCTATTCCAAGGCAATGCAGTCCGTCCCCTAGCGAGGTCCCCCTCGGAAACAGCACCTCGAGGCACAAGGGTTCCGCAGAGAATACATATGGGCGTATAGCAGAAGCCTCACACAATTAAAAGGTGTGGGTGCGAGGCCGAAAACCGCCCCAGGACTGGGGAGA